TAGCCTAGGTACCGCTCAGCCGTCCTCGTCGCTGTCACCGTGTGTCCTCGTAGAGAAAGCGATGTGTATTGTGGGTCGACTTCCCTGGTGTTTACAAAATGCACGAGTGCATACTTCTTCGGGTCAAAAACTGATGCATGTTTCTCGGCCCATTGGTCGGCTTTGCGGCATGCCGCTCTGAGTTTCTTGATGGTTTCGCGTTCGCTGTCTCCCTTTGTCATGAAGCAAACATCGTCGACCCACCCGTTGTTAGTCACACCGTTACCGCAGTTCTCAACGAGGTCTGCGTTGTAGATGAGATATAGAATGGGTGAGATCGGTGATCCTTGAGGGATGCCTGTAGGTGTCGGGATTCGATCAGATGTGCCCTCGGGCATGCGGATCCGTGTGCTTCGGTTGCTCAGGAAGGCCCTCACCCAGGGAACGAAGTGTCCCAGACGTCGTTTCTTGAGGTTGTGTAGTAGACGTTCATGGGAGACATTGTCGTACGCTCCAGACACGTCCAGCATTAGCAGAGATACCACTGGCTTGCCTTTTCCCCATGCGGTTTTGATTCGGTCGATGATAATGTGGATAGCATGATCGGTGGATATGCCCTTTCGCCCGCCTAGATGGGTTCGTGGGAGTAAACCGTTGGTTTCTGCTGCGTAGCTGATCCGTCGCGCGACAACTGCCTCCAGAAACTTTCCGAGCGTGTTCAGCAACGCGACGGGTCTGTAGGATTTTGCGAGCTGGTAGCCACTCTTTCCTTGCTTCCGGAGCACCACCGTGATTGAGCGCTGGAAATGTGACGGGTTGTATCCCGTGTTTATGCATGCGTTGAATAACTGTACCACTGTTGCTAGAACCGCCGGTATCTCGATAAGCTTGTGCCAGAGAGAGTTTGGTATACCGTCTTCTCCGGGTGCTTTCCCTGCTTTCGCTCCTCGCACCGCCTCCTGTATCTCTTGAGCGGTGACTGCTGGAAACTCGATTTGCTGTGGGTACAGGAATGAGTCTGTGTCGGATAGATCGGCCGGCGGTGGTTTTGGAAAGAAGGCAGTCCGGAATGCCTCTGCCTTTTGCTCAACTGTTTCTGCGAGAGTTCCAGGCATTTGGGGATCCTGAATTTTCAGCGAAGGGGTGATACCCTTCTCATATGCCCCGTCTCGGTTTCTTGCCCATTTAGCCAATCGCCACATACCCTGTGGGCCATCTTCAACGACTTGCTGGACTCGGCGCCGGTGCGCTCTTGACAATGTTTTCTTGACGAGTCGCGTTTTCTTGTTGCGTGCTTCCGAGTAGCACATCCAGTCGTAGGGGTCTTTGGTTCTCGTATGTCTGCGACGGAGGCGACGAACTTCTTTGACCGCAACTTTACACTCGTCGTCAAAGTCGGGGTTCGACCACGCGGATGGTTTTGCCCATGGGGTTGATTCCTCGATTGCTGACTGTATCACACCCATTAGCTCCTGGCATTTGGCTTCTATCCTCTGCGGATCTGTCTGGTATAGGCCTCCTGCCTGTAGACCTCCTTCTATCTTCTGGATGAGTTTCTGGTCATCAGTTGCGTTCCAGTTTCTTCTCTTCTGTTGTACAGCAATGGGTGTAATAATATCAAGCACAGTCCTGATCGGGAAATGGTCGGATGCGTGCTCGATGTCATCCGCCCTCTCGCAATTGATAAGCCTGTTGACCAGGTTGAATGTGATGAAGGTGAGGTCAATCACCGACGACTGATCGTTTCGAGACCAGGTAGGTCTGCCTTGTTGGGTCGTCAACTCGAGTCCCCATTCATTGGCGATTTCTAGGAGTTGCTCGGCCTCCTGATCGGCCCTGGTCCCTGTTCCTCCCCATCTCGGGTGATGCGCGTTCATATCTCCAAGGATGATGTGTTCTCCATGAGGTCGTTTTGACAGCTCATTTCTTAGATGTCTAAGGGTATTGCTGCCCGGCCTATTGTATATGTTGTGTATGAAGAGATCTGTCCAGTCTCTGCCCTGATGAGCCTTTCTAAGTTTCAGTAACTGGTAGTCCTGTGAGACGAGTTGACACGACCAATGGCTCGGGTCAAGCCTTTTAGACACAAACAGGCATACTCCCGGTTGGGAGAGATCCGAGGCTTGGACTTGATCATCCTGGCCTTGGGTTGATCCGTCAGCAGCTGTTTTTGGTGGGTAAATTAGCTGGAAAGTTGCCGTCGCTGGTTGGTGCGTTGTGTGTTGCATTTCGTTCTTCCATGGCTCCTGTACCGCGACGACGTCCGCCGCGAGGACATTTCTGTCTCTGAGGAACGTTGCCATCACTGGCCACGATTTGTGTACGTTGTATTGAAGAATCTCAAACGATTTCATTGATGAGTTTGTTCGTCATCGCTTCGTTCGCTGGCCTCGTGCCATACTTCATCATTTGGGTCTTCGATTGTTGGTGCATCCGTCGTAAAAATCGGCGGAGAAGATCCGATTGGTATCGCTTGTCGCTGCTTGTATTTCAGAACCACCAATTTGCGGTATTCGGGGCTCTCCGGGTCCAGTTCGTCCTCGTCATCAGGCTCGGACGTGTTACCGGCCATGTTGACAGAGGTGACCTCGTTAATGAATTGGGTAAGTCGGTGTTCCCGGCTATCCTGCGGAGTGTCAGGTTGAGGGAGATCGGCCGGAGTGGGTTGAATGCTGAGCCATTCATTGTCGTCTGGTTGCTCGTCCATGGTGTCGTCCGGCTCGCCTGTGCGGCGCCTTTTCGAGGCCGCTTGGAGCCTTGTTGACCCTTGGCATGCTAGTGGTATCATTGCTGGTTTCGGATTCTTTGGCCTCGTTCTTGAGCCTTTTGGGCGACCAGGACCTCTTTTGAGCTGAGTAGGCTGAATAGGCTCAGTGTTTTCCTCTGGTGATGTTTCTACTTCTATTGCTGCAGCCTCCACGTCGATTACAGCATCCTGGGGGTTCCGCCGGGGCTCTTCCCCCGTTGCTCCTCTGGAGCGTGTATCGACGCTTCGAGTCCATTCGTGGCCATGGGGTCTGCCCTGGTCGAAGTTGCTTCTTTGCCGGTGCTTGCCGTCACTCGGAGGTGCAGAGGAACGCGGTGATATGCAGGGCAGTTGGCCAGCGCTTGTTTGGCTTCGTTCATCGCTGCAACCTTCACCGGACATTCCCGACTTGTAGGGCGATGCCCTTCACCACAGTTGGCGCACTTGACTGGTATCGCTTGCCCCTTCGTCGACGGACACTCCCAGGTCGGGTGTCCGTTGGCGCAGTGACCGCATTTGAATAAGTTGGAACAGTGTGACTGGATATGCCCCGGCCTTTGGCATTTTCTGCATAGCTTTATCCGCCCCTCACGACAGAATCGTGATGCATTGTGAATTTGCTTCCCCCACACGACTCCCGAGATGATCGCGCGATTAGCCACGACTGGGCTGGTGAACTCGATCAGGATGGAGCCCTCCGCCCTCTCACCCGGACGGGTCATCCATCCTAGATACTGAATCTTAGCGCCTTCGCCCCAGTTGTTCTGCCTGAGCAGCTCAGCCGCAACGTCAGCCATCGTCTCCGGAGTAACCTTCATCGACCTCACGGGAATATGGTACGCCACCACTCCCCATGACGGTTCTTGGACCACCGAGCCTGGTCCAAAGGCTCTCAGCCACGCAGCATGTTTGCGGAGGACCTCTGCCCCTGCCGCACTGTTGGCGATCATTGCCACATCCCCCGACGGCAATTTTCGAGCAGCGACAAAGAAAGCCTGTCCGGCCAGTACCCCTGAATTCTTCTGACGGGCATTTGATACCCTCTGTCGTTCAGCCCTCTCGACCAAATCTTTTGGTGTCAATCCACGGATTTGCTCGCGGTTCTTTCCGACCTTGACGATGACCTCTCGGTCCTCGCGAAGTTCGATTTCCGGTACTCCTGGAGACGATGTGCCGTCGCTCCGGGTGATGGGAGTCGCAGCCGTAGCCAAGTCGCGCTGCCATTCTTTGGCCCGGAAGTTGCGCCACGCTGCCGCAGAGTTCGCCGCGGGGGTAGATAATGCCGTCGATAATGTGCTCGTTGATTTTTCAATGGTATCCATTCGCTGGTTCAGACGTTCGGTGTCGATGTTGATTTTGGTCAACGCCTCGAGCACCTTGGCCATCCCCTGGCCGTCTCCCCGTTGGGCGTTGAGTGCGTACTGGCGGACGGCGCGAATATACCCAGTGACATATCGGTCCTCCGTGCCATTGTTTTCGATGTGGTTGAGCACCCTGCGGGCCCCTTCCGCGATGTCGTCCATGGATCGGGGCGGATCCGCGAGGGCCGTGGTTTTTGGCGTTCCTCTCCTGTCAGGGGGCAAAATCTTTGCGTTCGCACCCGTCCCCACCATCGCTGCCATCTCCCCTATGAAAAGGGTATCAGGCCGTAGCGCTTGAGGTTACGATTACGATGAACTAATTCAAGAGGCCGTGAGACCTCTGATTGGCTAGATATTTCAAGAAAACATTTTTGCCAAGAAAGAGTTGTTTTTCTCCCTGGTAAATTTTCCATAAAAAAGCATGAAAAAGCAAAGAACAATCGCATATTCTCTATATAAGGACACGTCCGATACGTCCTAAGCCGGTTGGACGATACGCGTTGCCAAGAATTAATGCGTTTTTACCAAATTATGCATTGGAAACATGATTACTGCAGTCAGCCTATTCGGGCCGCCGATTGTCCAAACGCTCAACCTGAGGGTCCATCTAATGCTGCCCTAACTAATTTCGGGTTTCCTTTGCACAAAACAGATTCCTGGCTCGATAAATATTATGGTAGTGATCGAAACCATATCGATGTATATAGTACCCAATTTCTTCGTTCGCATGCTATGCGTTACGCACCAGATTATTTGGGTTGCGGCCTCTACTCCCCGATCGATGGCAGCAAAAGTGGCAGCGGAGCGACGAGGATTCGTCAGGACCCGCACCCCACGCATATCTGCTTCCTTATCCAAACTGGCTTCCAAGCCCACAAAGATGACCTAGTGGCCTTTCTGCATGTGACTGTCACTTATTTCACCCAATTATCGGCCAGAACCTCGACTTCCACGGAAGACTTCATCTCGATCAGGGCGTGGTCGAGATAATGGAGTTTGGGACCGGTCGGGGAGACCAAGCGCAGGTCGAACCGACTGAAGATGACGGAGATCATAGTGTACATTTTGAGGTAGGCAAGGCTATGTTCTTCGAGTTAGGGAAGGAAAGTCACAGCAGGGAATAAGGATTGACTTTCTCTGGGATCGCACATACTTCATGCCCAGGCAGCTCCGACTGCCTTTGCCAAATGCAATCATCCATCGGTCCATACTACGGGAATTCTCGCCCATCCAGCGTTCGGGCAAGAACTTCTCTGGCTCAGGGAAGAGACCGCCGTTGTCCAGGATACAGCGGGAGCTGATAGAGACGATAGTCTACAAACCGAACAAGCTATTATAAGCGAATGCTTCATTAAGTGATGAATGGGGCTGGAAGGGGAAAGCATACACCTCCGGGAATAAATTTCTTGTTGATCTCAGTGCCTTGGGGAGGGACTACTCGGGGCAAGCGTCCCGGAAACGGACTCGACATTCGCAGAGACTCCTTGATCACGGCAGACAGATAGGGCAGTTTGCGGACATCTCGGTAGCTGAACTCATCCTTTATGATGGCAGAAGCGCTGCGTAGCTCCTCACGCAGAGTATGCAGTACCTCCGGGTTGGATAGGATGTGGAAAATGGCAAAGGTCGTGGCCATGCTCGTGGTATCGGTGCCCGCAATCGCGAACAGAAACGCTTGGTCGATCAGTTCACTATTTGCAGGAACTTTGTAATTCTTGTCCGGATTTTCAGCGAGGAGCACGTCAAATAGTGTGGGGCGGCCATTCGTCATCGTTGTTATCCCCTGCGCGCGCCGTTGTCGGACGCGTTCGATCCAGGCGATGCATTGCTATATTTTAAACCAAGGGGTCAGCATCTCTCTATTCCGAAATAGTATCCTACCGGGTAATAAAAGCGAGCGAGATCCGAACCTCTCGAAAGTATGCATAGCCCGGAACGATCTTATTTGTCAGGCTATTGGGGAGCAACAAAGCAAACTGGGCTATCCAGGGAGCGTGAACCACTGCAGCAAGCAAACAGATGAGCATCTAGTTGGGAGCGGCACGGTAGGAATTTCCTTACTAATCCAGACATTTTCCACGAACATGTCTAGGTTGCTCAGGAACTTGTCCGAATAATACCCAGACTCAACCAAATTTAGGCTTTGGCCGAAAATCAGGTCACAACTGATGTCCGTCTGCAGAACATATGCCATAGCTTCAATGTTAGCCTATCCTATTGTATGCGCTTTCGATAAATTATGGTTACCCCTGGCGCGACTTACGGTAATACATCGAAGAAAGTGCATGACGTTCAATCTCTGGGCGCCCTGCTGCGACTGAACAGCCATTATACCGGTAGCCTTGTGAACCATCTCATAGACTTGCTCTGCCATCCCATCCACCGAGGATCCGGTGAACATGGGAGCAATCACAGTGCGCAGAGGCTTGTGTCTGTGCGGATCCGTGATAGTGGCCAGCGACGTCGCGAAGCCGAAGGCCTCGTAGAAGTATGGCGCCTTGTAGAAGTCTGTGCTCACTTTAAACACCCTAGTAGTTCGTGAGCCGGCTGATTGGTCAGAAACATTAGAATATGACACACTTGTGGTAGAATTCAGGATCATTGATGTGAAGATGATTCGGGGAGATCCGAATAACGGGGGAGTCTTAATATATCAGTTAGCCAGGTTCAGGCTGGAAATACTGCTTTTTCCCTTACTGTAAACTTTGTGTAGCTTGGGTATCGCTTGCAGAAATGTCCCGTTACAGACCATGTCCTGCCAGAACTCCCACAGGTGCGATGCGGCGGCGATTGGGGGGCCCGGGAACTTGCTGAGTGGGTGAAAGAATAGGCGTCGGAGATACTTCGTCAGTAATAGCACTAGAACCAGCACAGCCATAGGTGAGGTGAGTTGAGATGAAATTGGCGATAAGGAGGCCCAAAGGCCATTGAGATCCCCCAAGTTGGCGCTTTTCAACACCATGGTGAGGAAATTTAAAGCTCCTGGATCTCAAGCGCTGAAAGAGTATAACCAAAGAACAATGAATAATAAGGGGAAAAGATAGCATTAATATACAGAGGATTTCGAAAACAGATTACCCCCCCAGACACGCACGCTTTCTTTCCCAGCGCCCCACTAAGTCTGCGCTAAGCTGATTCTGGCTAGATGAAGCCCCTTCCCCGAGGGCTGACGCCATATCATTGGCTGCGGGAGAATCTGGAACCCGGGCGATCCGGACAAGGCGCCAAAGTGGGTCTCTGGGAGAGTGAACGTGCGTTTCTGGGGGTAAACTGTTTCGAAATCCACTGTACATCCAGTATGCCAAGACCTTCGGCTTCCGCGACGATGATCGGTGCGTGTGCGGTGCGCAATAAACAGTCACCCACGTGCTGGTGGACTGCCCAAATTTGAGGGAAATCCGATGGGAGCTAAGACGTGAAGCTGGGGACGCGTTCAACGACGTGTCGAGTCTGCTGGGAGGCTCAACCGAAGGTAAGAGAGGTAAGCCAGACATCGTGTCGCGGGCTAGGACGGTCAAAGCCGTACTAGACTTCGCTGAGGCGTCACAAAGATTCAAAAGTCGCGCGCCATGAGGGCAGCCTAATAACTTGAACGGCACCTGGGCCATGATAGGCCTTGACGAAGCTCCAAGTTCGTTTTCAGGAAGTGGGACATTACACATGTACATACAAGGATATATATAGTTGTTGTATCCTGTATATCGCCAAAAGAGTTGATTTCCCAACTAGACTAAAATACGAATCCGCACTCAGCCTAGTGGGTTATGGTTTAGAATCCAACTCTTTTTTTTCTTTTAGTTGGATTCTAAACCATAACCCACTAGGCTGAGTGCGGATTCGTATTTTAGTCTAGTTGGGAAATCAACTCGCGAGGGGTCAGCGTAAATGAAATCATCCATCCATCCATACTGTAAAAGGAGGCGAAAAGACGCTGAAAACGCGAGACTTACACGCTATATGAGAGACTATATTAGCGTGTTTTGGTTAAGCGGTGTAGGCCATAATGAAAGGCGGTATAGGAGTGGTTCTATAGGGGTGTTAAAACCTTTGCTGCGTCACTGTATATAGGTGGAACCGTTGAATTATACCTATTCTACAATTTCCGACAGAACCTACACAGACCCACGTTGCTTTCTTTGGCTTTGGTTATATCTAGCGGGCGTTAATCTTCGGTTAGTGCAGTGGATTGGAGGCGCATTTGCCCTCTAAAATATCGTACCTGTTGTGATATGAGGCTGGTGCAGATCAGGAATCAAGCCGAACCATCGGAATTAATCCCGAGATATGTATACGAAGAAACAAGTTGATTTCCAATCAACTTGTTCTTCTCGTTGTATATATAGTCTCAAGTTTCCCACTGAATAATAGAAGAATCAATCTTCCTTTGAAATACAACAGTACCAATCCAGAGGAGGGAGTGAGACATGGGAGGGTGAGACACGGAAGAGTGAGAACCCCAAGACACAACGCAAAATGCGCCGGGATTTTCCTCCCGATAGGGGAAATGGCGTCAAATGTTCCTCCTATCGGATCTGCATAGTCGCCGCATTCACGCAATGCACAGTCCCATAATTCCATACCTTAAAGAGACGCTAAGTGACACACATGCTAGCTTCAATCTCCATTTTCCCCACATATAATCAACTCGCTGGCTTGTTTACCCGGACGAAAGCATCCGATATGAATTTACCCCACCACAACCCCGCAAAGGGGGGTTGTTTAGCGTTACCCCGTCGAGCTAGGGCAGAGGACGCCAGAAAATATTTTGGTGGTTGAGGTAGTATTAATATGCCTTGGGGACCAACCCCCTGGTAGCTCCTGGTACGCAATTGATACGCTTATCTATCCCATACTATACCTGACTTTCATTTCATCAATATGAAGGTCACAAATGCCTTGGTACAGGCCATTGGCGTGCTCAGCTCTCTCGGTTCCATAGTAGATGCAAAGGACCATGGTCACTCTCGAACTGATGCATGCCACCCAAATCACCCATTCAAGCCTCTGCCCGCTAGCAATGCCAGAAATAAGACCTGTCATGTAGCCAACCATGGACATGGAAAGGACGACTCAACCAATGTTCTTGCCGCATTGAAGAAATGCAACAATGGCGGAAAGGTTATTTTTGACGCCGACAAGACTTATACCATTGGGAAAGCGCTTGACATGACGTTCCTCAAGCATGTTGATCTGGGTACGTACTACACACGGACCCTCAAGGCTTATATTTGATGAGCCTCGACTGATAGAAAGCCAGATAGAAATCCAGGGCCATGTTCAGTTCACCAATGACACGGATTACTGGCAAGCAAATGCTTTCAAGCAGATCTACCAGAATGCCACGACCTTCTTCCAACTCGGCGGCGAGGATGTCAATATGTATGGTGATGGTACCCTCGATGGAAACGGTCAGGTATGGTATGATCTGTATGCAAAGGATGCTCTCATCCTGCGTCCCATTCTGATGGGTATCATCGGATTGAAGGGTGGCACCATTGGTCCTCTCAAGCTTCGCTATTCCCCACAGTGGTACCACTTCGTGGCCAATTCCACTGATTTGCTGTTTAATGGAATTGATATCACGGGATTTAGCAGCAGTAAGAATGTGGCTAAGAATACAGATGGATGGTATGTCAAGTTGGAAATTCTAATCCCTGGGGTTTTATTAATGGCTGTCATTAGGGATCTTTACCGCTCGTCGAATATTGTCATTCAGAACTCTTTTATTAACAATGGAGATGGTATGTTGAGCCTTTCGCACTATTCATAGCCAACTTAGACTAACTAACCATTTCGAAGACTGCGTCTCCTTCAAGCCCAACAGTACCGAGATCCTAGTTCAGAACCTTCATTGCAACGGTTCTCACGGCATTTCCGTCGGATCTCTCGGTCAATACGAAGGCGAGATTGATATTGTGCAGAATGTGCTCGTCTACAACATTTCCATGTTCAATGCATCCGTAAGTTCAAACCCCGAGACCGCCATCAGCGAAAGAGTAATATGTCTGATTTCCTTGCGTAGGATGGTGCTCGCATCAAAGTCTGGCCTGGAACTGCGTCTGCGCTCTCAACCGATCTCCAAGGCGGCGGTGGATCAGGCATTGTAAGGAACATTACCTACGACGGAATGATCATCGATAACGTGGACTATGCGATTGAGGTGACTCAATGCTATGGCCAGAAGAACCTCACTCTTTGCAATGAGTTCCCCGTAAGTATTTCCTACATCATGCCTTTCTACGCTGTAGTAACTGACGAATGACTACTCCATATAGAGCAGCCTCATCATCGAAGATATCCTTTTCACTAACTTCAATGGCGAGACCTCGGGTAAATATGACCCTAAAGTAGGAACTATTGTCTGCTCGAGCCAGAATGTGAGCATCTTCAATCCCCAGATATATATTCCAGTATCTGACTTCCTACAGGTTTGCTCGGATATCAAGGCAACCAAGATCGATGTTACTAGCCCTAATGGGGATGACGAGTTTACTTGCATAAATGTATGTTTTCCATTAATCTATAACTGCCCATAAAAGCTTGTTGACAATCTCCTTCTTACAGGTCGATGACAGCTTATTGGATGTGAACTGTGCTACTACCTCTTAGAGAATTTGATGACAAGGGTATTCCAAAATGAAATTGGGTTTAAGTAGCCGTTATAGGGCAGAAGCTCTCTAGACCAGGGGATGCCTCGGCCTCCGATTCTTGCGTGGTAAGGTCGGTTCCGGATGCGTGCTCAAGTTGTTCAATGTTCTCCTTGCCCTCAATTGTAACCTCAAACTCCCAAAAAAATGAGATGCAATGCCTGAAAATTGGGAACTTACAGTCTCATTGCCAGTGTCAATATCCAAAGCATTTCTTCCTGCATATGCAGACTCCGTCATCCAGAAAAAGATCATGATAAACGCCAGCCCGAAAGCACCGCCCATGGGATGTAGAGAAATGCGATATGAGCCGTCCTCGATAACACCTCCAGCTTTTCGGTTCCATATCAGTCAACATAGAAGCAATATTGCACCATGAGATCCCTCACCGATCGGAATAGCAAGATTGATTTCACCCAGAACACCTAGGTTAAAGATGGCTGTTCGGAAGCCTCGTCCGTGCACAAACCTAACAAGCCATTAGGTACCACGCGCCAGATCATATTCGGTGTACCCTTACCAGATGTCTGCAATTGAAGCCGGAATCAATGCCTCCATTGATGCCATAAATAAACCACAAACAACCCGAGCTGCAACAAGAGACGGCAAGCTCTTCGCCTCAGCAGCCCAGAAACACGAAACCATAAGGCCGACTGTAGTACTGGGGTAGACTGGTCGCTTGCGATATTTGACGGCGAGCGATTTGAACAAAAGACTGCCGATTGCGATAGCGGTGATCGTTCCGCCCTGGTTACCAGATACGAATGTTGTCAATGGGACATCAAATTCTTCAGCAAGAGGAACAAATGCAAATTCCAGAAGGGGCTTAACGGCTACATAGTGGAAGTATTAGTTTTGAATGCATAGTAAACAAAGTAAATGGTCCCTGTGTCCTACATCCAACACGACCACAACCCCAGCCATAGGTAATTGTGAACAGCTCTTTCTTTTTCCGAGGCCAGTTGTATGGGTTTTTTGACGAGTCGGAGGGTTGAGGCACAAGTACAATTTGGCCAGTTGGGTCATGTTTGAGGAGACTGGGATCAATGCCTGGGTAATTTGTGGAGCCTTGGAGATCGTTTAATGGAGCTGTCCCGGGGACATGCTCCAGCTTGCCATCGTCTAGAATGCCAAGCGGCATCTTGGGAATGAGATTACAGTTCTGTAGGAACAACCTTGCCTGAGATTGAGACGCGGAAAGAAGAAAGATGCGTATGAGTTCAACAAAATTGCCTTTTCAAGGCGCAGACAAATGATGATAGATAAAGGACGATCAATGGTCTTTATAACATATCAGACTTCCTCTTGGGTCGACTAGTAACTTGCAGACACGGAACGAATGAGCTGTAATCCGAGATGGGGCAAGCCCCATCTTGCAGACTTCGCTTGAAATCCGGGGTTTTTACAGGGTTTCTCCGAATGTAATCGGGTCGATGACTGAACCCACTTGCTGGATGGCGTGGCGTATCCTCATGTCCAAGCGTGGTCGGCTTTTTGTGTCCAGAAAGCTGTCGGAACCCACCTTGGGCACAGCAGCCTTGAGACCAAATTAAGTTAATCTCTGCAATGTTGTCACCAGACCCAGGAAATAGAGGCGACGTGGTTGACGCATTGTGCTGTCATATTGCAGGGTTAGCGAGATTGAAAAGCCTCGGGTTGCTCAACAGCGAATGAGTTTATTCTATGACCAGCGAATGGCAACGGAAGGTTGATTCATACTTCTTACGAGCTTTGGCCTGATAGACGGCAGTTAGACCGAACCGAAAATAGGCCTTCGGCACAAGGAGATGATCTTCCTATGGAGGCAGCGCGGTTTCTTGCCCATGGCACCTAGAAACTTCAATTGCATCTTTTTGATTCCGCAAGGCAATTTTGATCCCTTGGTCACGACTTGACGTACAGCCTCCAACTCATTGAGATGATCTACTTCACAAGTTGCTCAACTATGATCACGCAATATACTGTACGCTCAACAGAACTACGGAGTGTAGAGCCATGTGATGAGGTCTCGCTCGAAAACACGAATCGCGGGCAAACATTATGGTACGATAGGCTCTATTCCTTGTATAGTCAGAGCTGTTTCTCCGCATGAATATTGCGTGTCGCTCGAACGTACCTTATGATAAAACGCCTACATTCTAGAGTGAGAGTTGCTTTCGCTCGAGGTCAACATGTCATTGGGAGCTTTCGCTCGGGAATATGTGATCCGCTCCTTCTCCATGTAAGAGCCGTCGCATCTTTGTGAAGAATATCCCGTCAGTAACTACGATTCATAGTCCAACCAATCTCTCGAAGAAGTCCAGTCCGGCGATTAAAGCGACGGGCATTACTATTTGTGGACTTATTTCTGAGTCATGCGATACAGCATGCTCTGCTGCTGATATAGTTTAAGTGCGATCGGAGTCCAACTAGCCATGTAGAACCAGAACTGGTGAAGACACACGATCGCCGCTCAGGACCGGGTGGTATTCGCACAGGGGTGCTCTAATCCACATCCGGCCCTAGGGCGTCCGCTGAAATTCGTCCTCAAGCAAATATGGCATAAGGGATTATTACGGGTAGAAAATAAAGTATAGGCTGTACGGAGAGTCCAAGAGGTCCTACAACCCAATGGCTCTAGTGGTGCTGTTACAGACATCAAACCCAGCTTCACGGTAAGTTGCTCGAACAGTGATATGCCAGATATCGTCCGGACGCGATCGTTTGCGGAAACATCATCAATGCTCAAAGGACAGTGAACTCGGGAGCTAGAGAAGTCGGTGATATGCTGGCAAGAGCGCTTTCGCCGCCAATTGCGATATGTTAGACGACGTCCTCAATGGACGAAGGATACTGGATGGCTTGACTGCAGCTGCAGTGACCTTCAACGTATATGGGCTTTGCACATAGTGCTCGGGCTTGGATAGAAAAACACAGGCTTAGGAATCAAATCACCAAGCTTCTGTCTAACGGGGAGAAGACAAACAATCCTGATAGCATGCAGCTTCGTGTATGTCCGAGTGGTTCCCGCTCGCTCGAATATGTCGATAAGCTGAGCAACAAGGAGAGGAAGAGGAATCAAGGGGACTCTATCAGGCGTGGTTCTTGGGTCATGGGTCCTCTCAATCGTTTGGCCATCCTCGGTCTTGTCCATCGATTTGAAGCTGACTGGCTATTGTTAGTTGATTCGGGTAGAAATGACGGGACTTTTGCCTCACCTTCTCCATGCAAGCAGTCCCGACTAACAACCTCGCCAGTACGAAAATATGGCTCTAGCTAGACAAAGCATTGGCTTCTCCCGGTTTCTTAGGGGTTTCAGGCTCGAAAGACGCTAGATGCCATCTGAGGACAACGATGGTCACCCACTGGACGCCAGGGATCCAAGCCGCAAGTAGGCCATTCTATGAGAGGGTTCAAATGCCGGGAGACAGACACTGCTATGCGCGCTCCATTGAGTCTGCATCAGGTAGGCATACCAACGCATGATCTGATGAACCAAATCGACTGGGAGAAGGTCGAGGTAGCGACTCGTCGATGCCACCAGTAGTCATGTGGAAGAAACAAAGCATAGATGGTATTGGTGTAGGGGAGGTCGAGCAGATAAGAGATTTGCTCGCTTTGCATTAGGGTGATGGGAATCTGACGGCGTCTTCCTGTGGTGAGACCCGAGTCAGCAAGTGTTGATTCAGTTGGACAAGGTGCTGTACTTTACGCCGTTCATGAAAAATCCGAGTGTATGCTTGAGACAGATAATCAACAAGATTCGTGATCATACCTGCTTACCAACTAGATCACTACCAACTCAGTTCTGCGATGCAGTCACCAATATACCATGTTGTATCCAGGTTCGTCACACTCTCCGGCTGTCGCTTCGAGAAGTCGCGCTGGATGAACCGACAAGTTCACAACACGGCAAAGGCGCATGACGAACTCACGTGTGACAAAAATTTGTACAGTTGTATTAGGAGACAGCTTCGTGCAAACAGCGAGAGGTTGAGGCACTCCACTGTTCATGGTGTGAAGGCGGTGAGGAAGGGGAAGACGCGATGGCGCGTCGGGCCCTGGGTCTTATCTGACTCGGCGGGAATAGGTTACTCGCCACAAGAATTGTCGCGGTTGGCGATGGGCTGCTCCTGCAACGGCATGAAGATGTCAGTAGTGTTCGTGTCTGGGGCACAGACTTGGCACAAATCATCGGACCCGGCGCATCAAGAGCCGCGACATCCACTCACCTTACCATAGAGAACAAGGTTCTTGAGCTTATGCGTCCTGTTGTTGGCCCTCGCCTTTGATTTGCAGTATTTCACATAGGACATGCTGCATGGTTTGATGTGGCAGGGCTAGAAATGGTGTGTAAGCCATGACCTTGCCCGGAGCACTGACGGCACCGCTGGTTCGGACTCACATTAGGGCGCTGTCAACGGTCTCCTGTCCATCATTAGCTTGTCGACCGGCGAGACATGTAGAACTCACATGTTCTGAAAGAAGACACGGAAAAGGGCTCCGTGGCTTTGCGCGTGCATTGGATGGAATGCAAGGATCCGGTTATTTCGCATCGTCTTTGAAGTCAGTCCAGTCTAGGAAAGGGTCGCTCTGAGATCTACATACCTGAATAGAAATCCCCTTTTGCATCGATATATTCAGGGGCGGGACAGTAGTCCACTGCTATGATGGACAGATATTCGCATACTTTGACCAGCTAACCCAAATCTGCTTCTTTCATCGGCTGGTATATGTGGCATACTGGATCTGGTGGGAATCACTTTCTCACAAGCCCTTTCAAGCTTGTCGGCCCACGACGTATCCATAGGTGTCAGTATGGTGGAAATTCCAGTAGGGTTGAAGGGAAGAACTTATCAGGTGCCTCGAACCGAAGGCCTGCTCGACTTTGCGCAGCAAGTGACAGTGTTGTAGAACAAATTGCCGGGGGGAGAGGGCGAATTTATAGGTTTCTCGGCTCCCGTCGCGTACGTGCTCTCTTACAGAGCAAACGTTCAAGGACACGACGCTATCCTAAGTGAGGTCTGTTGCAATTCATGCCTTCGTTCTACCGCAACTATTTGCAGCCGAATTTTTGGTGTCATGTTAGATGCCCACCGACTAAAAATGCTAGGGTCATGTTGAGAATTAGTCAAAGTGAGTCGGTTAAGAAACGTTGGCTCACTGTTGAATCTACGGTCCTAATACTGAGGCAATGGAAGCTGTTCGTTCTTTGATTTCACCAAGAGCGCTCACATTTTCATCCTAGGAACATGAAAATTTTCTGGCCTTGCTTGAGTGTTGATTGTCTGAGCTGTGTGTGGTTCTGCCCGTCTAGGCTGCGGAAAGCGTCAGGCCGTGGTCGCGCGGGCACGGGTACTCAACCCGTCACCCGTTGAAGCTTGGCCGTCCTTGTTGACGGGGTTTTGAACCTGTGATCTTGGTTGAGATAGATATATTTTTTTCGATTTTCTTTTTCTGTCCTCTAGATTTTACTCTATTTACGTTTGGGATTTCTGAGCTCTCAAACGAATGTGGAAAATGCGTTGTGATTGAATATATATCTCGTGGACCGTTCATCACCGGAAGCCACTAATATGAGGCACATTCACCAACCATCAACACCACGAGACTGATCACCAGCACCATCATTAAACTGACTGCTAACAGAGTGCTGAGATTGAAAAGCTGACTACGCTGATTGACTTTTATGGTGAAAACGAGACTGAGTACCTAGCCACCGATGTCCTCTAGTCTATAAAAGCCTCCAAGAATTAGTGGACATGCTATTGCCCAGATACTCGTTCCTCTGCGATCAAGATGGATGCCCCTAACAGCACGCCAGACCAGGAAAAAGAAGGAGAACAACAGCCCAGTGCATTGCCAATCATTTCTGAAAAAGAGAATTCGCAGGAGGCTTCTGATCATGTCCCTCCACTGGTAAGTAAAGCGGCTCAGCTTCCAATGCTCTTGCTGACTATCGCAGCTCTCTCTTTCGCCACAGGAAGCAGAAACAAGACATACCTTGGCGACCGAGCCATTCCAACCTATTCTGAAGGTACTAGCAGACCTCGAACGCAACGATCCCAAGTCCGCCTTTCCCGCGGCTCGACTTGTCGGACTGTATCGACGCCTATGGGAGTCGTGCGTGTCCAAACACATCGATGGCCAGAACCTAGAGCA